AGGCAGGAGAATTGCCTGAACCCAGGAGGCGGAGGTTGCGGTGAGCTGAGATCGTGCCATTGCACTCCAGCCTGGGTAACGAGAGCAAAACTCCATCTCAAAAAAAAAAATGGCAGCCATGTGGGTGATGTGCCCTTGGCTGCGACCCTAGAAAAGAGCCTGTAATTTCCTCCTGATGCAAAGGTGGCTGAACTCAGCTTTGTCTAATATGTGTCTTCAGCTTAGTTGTTTCCTCTGAACTATGAGCTGGACACCACATAGGGATTACGTAAGCCCAAATTCTCTGGTCTGGTACACCAAAGAATAGTTACAAACTACAACTGGACAGTAGAACGTGCTGGATTGATCATCTCAGCCAGGGCGAAGAAGCATATTAAGATGTTAAACGTCTACCAGGAGTGAGTCATTTAACCCTCACAAGGTTTCATCTTCCTGAATTGCAAAATGAGTTTGCATGAAAATCTGGGTTATTTAGACCCTAAATAAAATATATGAACAACAGAAGTAGCATTAGAAGTTCATGAAGGACTGGTATATTCAATGCTTAGAGTTGGAACAATGGGCTCTCCATATGGAAAAGATAAAAGTGAATACCTACTTCTCACCGTGGACCAAAAAAATCCCTACCTCTCACCATAGACCAGTGCAGATTCCCAGAGCCCTTGTTACACCTACTGGAGCTTAGAACTTTATCATAGACCATTTGTAGGCCTTTAGTCTAGGTTATTAATTCCCTGAGGGCAGGGAATCTGGCTGTTTTTATCATTAAGTCATTTGCACCAAGTATGTCCCTAGAATAGATTATGAACCCAGAAAATATTTGTTGAATGATTACATTATTTCCAAAATTCTTTTAAGAATGAATTTCTAGGCCAGGCACAGTGGCTCACATCTATAATCCCAGCACTTTGAGAGGCCGAGGTTGGAAAATCGCATAAGTTCAGGAGTTTGAGAACAGCCTGGCCAAACATGGCGAAACCATATCTCTACTAAAAATACAAAAATTAGCCGGGCGTGGTGGTGCACCTATAATTCCAGCTACTCAGAAGACTGAGGCACAAGAATCACATAAGTCCCCAAGGCGGAGGTTGCTGAGATACGCCATTGCTCTCCAGCCTGGGCAACAGAGGGAAACTCTGTCTCAAAAAAAAATAAAATAATTTCTAAAAGAGATTACATTTTTCTCTGGCTGTCATTATAATAGAATAGCTCACAATATATTCAGAACTATTTTGGGCACTGACCTGGTCACACAACGGAGAAGAACTGAGTGGATAGATTTTGGTGAGATCAGCCTTGGTCTTCTCTGAATCTAAGTTAAACAGATTTAAAATATTACATACCTAGGCTCCCCCTGAAATATTATTAAACCATATTTTAGCTGTGGTAATGATTATTCTTTTATTAATTTACTACATGCCTACTTTGTGTAAAAACACGATCTTTCGAACACTTTTTTTTTCTTTTTATTAAGGTATAACTTATATAAAATAAACATCATCAATTTTAAGTGTACTACAGTTTGATAAATTTTGGCATTTGTACACAAGGTGTGATCACTGCTATAGTCAAGATACAAAACAGTCCCTTCATCTCACACAGTCTACTTGGCCCCTGGGACTCCATCCCCTCTCCCAGCTGCTAACCTCAGACAATGCAGCAGCTCTACATAGTGTCTGGCACTAATTTAAAATACTAATGATCGTAGGGGCAGGAATTTTTAAATAAAGGGTGAAAAACCTGACCGAATGGGAAATGGGAATGAGAAAGAAATTGGTAACATAGCTAGGCGGGCTGTAGCCTCAGATTGGACTCTGCTTCACTTGATGGTGAATTAGCCCAACCTGGAGAGACTGGGTGCTCCAAGAATTTTTTTACAAATAACACAGGCGTTTTTATGATTACAGTAAAAGAACACAAGAGTTGTAATATACAGCTCAGATATAAATCTGGCAACTGGGTTTCTGAACATAAATCTGGATTCATTTTTAATCTGATGTCTTAAAGAACCCCTGAGCCTCAGAAGATTCGAAATGGCCACACTGCTTGAAGACCAAGCATTTGAGTAAATAAAACGTCTGCCTCAGAGAATGTATTCTGTCTCTCAAGCTATTAATTAAAAGATTCATAGTTCCTTTTCTTGCCAGGATTTATTCGCCCAAAGAAAATATGTGAATGGTGGTGTGTCTATGAGAAATTAAATGCGGTGAAGAGTTTTATATAGAGCTGTTTTGGGGCTTAAAACTTTTTGTCTCTTTGCGGGCATCAGGCACTGTCTGGGTCCTGGAGCTACCACTGAAAAATACAGGCCAAGTTCCTGCTGCGTTCTGTAGGAGCTCACATTCTGATACCGGGAGGCAGGACTCTGCTGGGAGACTAGGCTGGAGATGGATGTGAAGCACAGGGTTCAGGAGGACTGAGCGGGCAGAAGAGCACTTTTGTGGGCTGGTCAGGGAAGGCCACTTTGAAGATGTGACCTTTGTGCTGAAATTGGAATGACAAAAAGGAGCCAGCTTTTTCTAGAGAAAGCACTTTGGTGTCAGGAGCAGCACATGCAAAGGTCCTGAGGTGGGAAAGAGATTGGTATGTTCAAGAAAGAAGGCCAGGGTGGCCTGAACCCAGTGACTAAGGTGGAGAGGATTACAAGCGGAGACCAGAAAGACGAGAAGCTTTGCTCCCAAAATGGAAACCTAAGCACTCTTGCAAACAGTCATAAAACTGGCCGTGACAGTGCCCTGGTGCCCAGAGAGATTTGTCACTTCTGGGCAGTAGTTGTGAATGCTTCCAGTTCCTCAGGTACGGGTCATAAGCTCAGAGCTGGAGAGGAGTGTAGAGTTATTCTAGCCCCACCCCTTCATTTTACAGTGAAGGAACAGAGGCCCAAAGAGGATAAAGTTCATACCCGAAAAACCATTCTAAGTCAGGTCAAAAGGCAAATGATAAACTGGGGGAAATATTTACAGTTCATATCACAGGTTGGGAGATCCATTTCCATACTCTGTAAGGAGCGGCTCACCAGCAGGGCTGGAGCAGAGTGTAGGATGGAGAGAGGCACACAAAGAGGGTGACAGAAATCCAAATGTGTGATCACATACAGCTGCTGAGCTGTGGGAATACAGCGTGCCCACTCACAGCCGCTGGCAGAAGTACATCCAGTCTTGTGCAGGCTAGCAGTTCTGGTAAAATTATAGCACGTGTCTGGTCCATCACTGAAGAGGACTCAGATGTCATTCAGCAGGTGCATGGATAAATACATCGTGGCCTATTTTGTCAGTGGAATAGTACTCAGCAATAAAAAAGAAGAAAACTACTGACCCATGCAGCAGCGTGGGTGAATCTCACAAGCATGCCGAGCAGAAGCAGCCAGCTACAAAAGAGAAAGTACTGTAGGCTTCCATCTGCATGAAGGTCCAGAGCAGTTCAAATTCACTGACAGTTTTCTGGGACCTGGAGCAGAGGTTGACTGCAGAGGGGCACCAAGGGAATTTTTGAGGGTGAGGAAAACATTTGTCTATCTTGATTGTGGTGGCCACATGGGTGTATACATTTGTCAAAACTCTTAAAATGAGTGGGTCCTTTTTAATGTGTGTAAATTACTCTCAGTAAGGTTGATTATTTAAAAATAAAATTTTTAAAGGAGGGAAAAAAGAATTGATGGGAAACAAAAGCTTCCCATCTATTCTTTTCATGATTAGATTGTTATTCACGCACTAACTGCTTATCAAGCACCATTTGTGTGCCAGCACGATAAAAGATCCCAACCAGCTGTTTGCACCAGAACACGGTACCACAGTGGTTGTGTGAGACCCTGGGCTTCCTCCGAAGTATTCACCTACAGCCTATCCTCCCATCGTCTGCTGCTCCCAGACCGTCAGCTGCCTAGAGACTCATAATCAGAACCCAAGATAGGGCAGGGGCAGTAGCTGCTAAGGAGAAAGTGGCCCTCCCTTCTTTGTCTAAGAGCACTTAATCCATCAAGTAAAGCAAATGGGAAGGAGATGGGGCTTGTTTGTAAACCAGAGACTTACCCTGACATTTGTCAAATTCTCCTTCCACTGGATGGGTGTGGTGGCTCACATCTGTAATCCCAGCACTTTGGGAAGCCAAGGCAGGCAGATCACAACGTCAGGGGTTCGAGACCAGCCTGACCAACAGGATGAAACCCCATCTCTACTAAAAGTACAAAATTAGCCAGGCGTGGTGGTACATACCTGTCATCCCAGCTACTCAGGAGGCTGAGGCAGAAGAATTGCTAGAACCCAGAGGTGAAGGTTGCAGTGAGTCAAGATTGTGCCACTGCACTCCAGCCTGGGCAACAGAGTGAGACTACGTCTCAAAAAAAAAAAAAAAAAACTAACCACCACCTCATTTGCTTGATACTGTTTGCTCAGATGTTTTTACCATACCCCAATCTGAGATAGTAGTATTGTTTTACTTTAACTTTCCCAGTTCATTGATACAATGTGATTATATCTAATTTCTGCAAATGTTTTTCTAGTCCCCACTTCCATACATATGTACATATGTATTTATGTCTGTGCTGGGCATATAAAGCATTCAGGACAAGGGACAGCAGCTCTTTGCAGGTGAATGTGTCTCCTTACAGATGGATGGTTTCTGTGTGTAGACTTTGTTCCACAGTCGTGTCGAGAAAAGGTGTGGTGGTTACTCTGGTTGTTATAATACTGCTCAGGTGGGATCTCTAACAGCGTACTGCTCCAGACGTAGAGAATGTGATAGTGTTTTCAATTTGTAGAAAAATTGATAATGCAAACAAGAAACACATGTTAGTGACCAGCCAGCAGTGTCCTGGTTCTTTTTCATTGCTAAGGTCAGGACTGTTATCTTTCACCATCCTCCTTTTCAGAAAAGGAGGGAAGGAACAAAGTTGTCAGAGAGGGGATCCTCTCTGAACCAGATTGGGGTGGGGGCTGGGGCGGACCACAGCAGTTTGCAGACCTAAATCATCCTGCTTACTTCATTTTTCTTTCTTCCTTCAGAAGCTTTCGAGATTGCCCTGCCACGAGAAAGCAGCATTACAGTTCTCATAAAGCCGGGGACCCCGACTCCACTGGCAAAATCCTGTAACATCATCATTTCTAAAAAACCTACAACCACGTTGCACATCAAGTCTGGAGAAAGGATAGTCTTTACCTTTAGCTGCCCGAATCCAGAGAATCACTTTGTTATAGAGATCCAGAAAAATATTGGTAAGTACGCACTTGTGAGCTGTTTGACAATATCTTTTAAATGTCCCTGCACCTTCCTGCCTGTCTTTCCCATGCTAAGTCAGTCTCTAATGCTAGAGAAGTAATATCTATTCTGAAACTCTACACTTTTTTTATTTAGCCCTATATGCGGCCAGTTAGAGTACTACGTGCTTTACACAGCTTAATTTGTTTAACCTTTAAAACAGCCCTATGAGAAGCTCACAGACAGAGGAACTTGCCTCAGTGGGCACAACTAGTAAGCACCAGATCAGGAGAAGAACCCAGGTACTTTGGCTTTCAAGTCTTTGCACTTAGCCACTGTGCACATGAGCTCTATAGGCAGTGCTACAAAAGCCCACAAGCTACAGACCTTTAGGTCTGTGATGCTCCGTCTCGGGTGCTAAAAACATCTGGCTTATATGGAAGACAAAAGAATCAGAAGCTTGAGGAAAGGCTGGGCACGGTGGTTCACACCTGTAATTCCGGCACTTTGGGAATCTGAGGTAGGCGGATCCCCTGAGGTCAGGAGTTCCAGACCAGCCTGGCCAACATGGTGAACCCCTGTCTCTACTAAAAATACAAAAATTAGCCAGGCATGGTGGCGGGTGCCTATAATCCCATCTACCTGGGAGGCTGAGGCAAGAGAATCACTTGAACCCGCAAGTGGGTCACATTGCAGCTCCTCAACTCTGCTATTACAGAGTGAGATCTGCCATAGACAATACATAAAACACCTAGCAATTCAGTTAATGTCATGCTTTGCATTGTTAGGTTAGAGAGAAAAAAACTACATATGATCATCTCAATAGATGACCTTAAATGTCTCTTTTTTCAGCTCCTCAACTCTGTTATTACAGAGTGAAATCTGCCACAGACAATACATAAACCACTAAGCAAACCAGTTCATGTGATGCTTTGCATTATTATTAGTTTAGAGAGAAAAAACTCTATATCATCATCTGAACAGATGACTTTAAATGTCTTCTTTTCTTTTTTACAGAACAGTGTGAACATAGATTTTAAATGTCTTTCATAAAACACTCTTAGTAAATTAGGAATGGAAGGATGTTTTCTTAATTCAGTAAAGAGTGTCTCTCAAGAACTGAGAGCAAATACCGTATTTAACCATCAGATATGGCAGCATTACCAATAAAAGAAGCAATAACATAAGGAGGCTTATTGCATGCCCTTAGTCACCATTATTCAGAATCTCTAATTAAATACATAGAGATTATCTTAATAAAGACGTAAAGTATATGAAACAAAATATAAAATTTTGCTGAAAGGCGAAAGAGAAGACTTAAATAAATGGAAAGATATGCCATGTTCCTTGATAGAAAAACTAAGTAATTTTACAAAAAATTAGCCAAGCATGGTGGCACATACCTGTAGTTCCAGCTACTCAAGAGGCTGAGGTGGGAGAATGGCTTGAACCCAGCAGGCAGATGTTGCAGTGAGCCGAGATCGCGCCATTGCACTCTAGCCTAGGGCGACCGGGTGAGACTTCGTCTCAAAAAAATTAAAACAAAAAGAAAAACTAAGCTTTTAAAGTATCAGTTCTTCCCTATATTATCGGTTTAAGTCAATTATAATTAAAATTTTAATGAAGCTTTTACAGAACAGAAGACAATGGTGATTTATTTAAGAATCAACTGGACTGATGTATTGCTACTAAGAGAATGAAGTGAGTTTGTGTATTTGACATAGAAAGGTGCCAAGATAGTTTTGTTCCATTAAAAATAGTGTAGCTTAGAGTAGGACAGTAGTTTATATAGTTTGATCCTACTCTATTAAATACACACATGTGCACATGCACTTACATACATGCACACATAACCATAGAGAACCAAAGTCTGGAGGGGTAAACTCCAAAATCCAGCACTCTAACTTTATACTGTTTCCATGGGGGATAGCAGAGGGGAACAGGTGACATTTTCTTCTTTCTATTTTTCTATATTTACTCGCACCCCCCCACACACACCCCACTTTTTTTTTCCTGTCACCCAGGCTGGAGTGCAGTGGCATGACCACAGCTCACTGCAGCCTCAACCTCCTGGGCTCAGGTGATCCTCCCACCTCAGCCTCTGGGGTAGCTGGGCACACACCACCACAGCCACTTGTCTTTTGTTGTTTTTAATAAGTATACATAGGCCGGGCGCGGTGGCTCACGCCTATAATCCCAGCACTTTGGGAGGCCGACGCGGGTGGATCACGAGGTCAAGAGATCGAGACCATCCTGGTCAACATGGTGAAACCCCATCTCTACTAAAAATACAAAAAATTAGCTGGGCATGGTGGCGCGTGCCTGTAATCCCAGCTACTCAGGAGGCTGAGGCAGGAGAATTGCCTGAACCCAGGAGGCGGAGGTTGCGGTGAGCCGAGATCGCGCCATTGCCCTCCAGCCTGGGAAACAAGAGCGAAACTCTGTCTCAAAAAAAAAAAGTATACATTACTTTTATAATCAGTTAACCAGTAAAATGACTTTCACTTTGAAAAAGGAAAAATGTAACAAGTGACACATTTCACAAGTCAAGCCTTTGAATGCATTCAGTCTCTCGATCCTAGGATGGCCACATGGTTTACTATGTAGTAGAAATAGACACTCACAACTTTAGAAAATGATATGAAAATGCCAATTTCTAAAATAATCAGTCTAGACACTGAATCAGGTCCCGTGATCCGCCTGCCCCTCATTGCCTTTTCTGAACAATCATTCTGAAAGCATCAGATAAAATTTGACATCTCTGTTCTCATCTCTTCTTGAATAGTTCTATGAGAGTTAGTGAAAGTTGGCTGGGCATGGTGGCTCATGCCTGTAATCCCAGCACTCTGGGAGGCCGAGGCGGGTGGATCACCTGAGGTCAGGAGTTCAAGACCAGCCTGGCCAACATAGTGAAACCCGTCTCTACTAAAAATACAAAAAAAATTTGGCTGGGCATGGTAACACATACCTATAGTCCTAGCTACTCGGGAGGCTGAGGCAGGAGGATCACTTAAACCTAGGACACAGAGGTTGCAGTGAGCCGACATTGTGTCACTGCATTTCAGCCTGGGCAAGAGAGCAGGACCCCCATCTCCAAAAAGAAAAAAAAAAATAGTTAATGAAAGTAGAAATATGCTGGGGAAAATAAGTTGTGAATCACTTTAGAAATAACACTTCTCCATCCTCTGGACAGGAATCATTTTAGTTATGTAGAATGTTTGCACCGGACAGAGTACAGAAGATTCTGAGGCATGCTGATCATTTTGACTACTCTTACCTGTGTGTCCATCCTAAAAAACAAAGCTCTTAGCATCAGATGAAAAATTGCTTTCATAATCTGACTCTCACAGTGTCACACGGCTGGTGACAGAGCTGAGGCTGAGAGCTGGGGATTTTTGACTTCACATTCTTGGTATAGAATTAAATCTGAATCCCTGGGATGGTCCAGGTGTGGTTAAATGGCCTGCAGGTGAGTTGTAGGTGGAACCAGAGCTGAGAGCCACTGTCTTACTAGAGTTAAGGGTTCCCACACGAGCACAGAACCTAGCCAGAGCCAACTGACGTTGCCCTGGGCACACTGGAGGTGTGAGTGGAAAATTGCTTGAGGTCAGTTTTTGAAGGAAAGAGTTGGCTTGATGTAAACAACGAAGTTTCCATGAGCTCCTAAAATAGGTACTGCCTTTACCAACATGGAGAGTCTAATTTTAGTCACATTAGTCACCATGTTATCTAACCCTGTTTTACTGGTTAGGCAGCACAGTGCATTGGCAGGAAAGGGTTAACCAAACACAGCCTGAGCTTTCGTCCTGTGCCAGCCCAAGCCACCTGGATCCAGGGCTGCTTTGCAGAAATCAGAGGTCTGGCGTGGATGACCTCAGAGAGCCAAGACTGCTCTGAAATTCTTCATAATTCTGTTTTAAGCGGACAGTACTTTCAAATACCCCAATAGAACAGCAGTAAAGACTCACAAATTATTATTGCAGAGGCCAGAGGCCATCACACCTTTCACATACCCCCTGCTGAAGACAACAAAACCTTGATGTTACATTGCCAACTTTCTATTTCTTCCCCTCGCTTTCTTCTTGTTTCCTCCTTGATAATAATATTTCTTGGTTTGTTTTAAAAGGCTTAGGAAACAAATATATCAAAGGATGTCACTAGCTGTTACCCTTAAAAAAAAAGAAATTCAATTGCGGTGGTAATAAAATACCAGCATTAAGGCAACCCTGGAAGAGAAATGTCGCGGCCAGGTTCCAGCCGTCCAGGGGAGTTGCACATTCAGAGTATATTCCCTATGTTGATGAATGTGTTGATGGGGAAACCAGTTTTAAAGGATGGATCTTGGTACTGTGCTCTACAAATTGTGAAATCATGACTATCTCAATACAGGGGAAGAAGGAGATCCCAAAGCACAGACTGCACTGCAAATGCCCTCCTTCTGGCTTCACCCATTGGACGCCAGGAACTTAATCTGGAAATCACAGTAGTTAAGAGATGTCTCAAGTCTGGTGACCTGGAAGCAGAGCCTGAGACAGGGATTTTTGTTTAAGTCATTAATCAAGAAAGTGCCCTCAGAAGTAAGGAAAGCAGGATAGAGCAGGGCATGTAGCTGAGCGCAGATGTGGTTTTAGCTGGAGTAGCCTCAGTCTGACCCCATGGGGAGCTCCGGAGTCTGAATGGCATGCCCAGGTTATGTCACTTGAAGCAAGGAGGTCAGACTTCTTAATTCCTGCATGAGGCTTGGGATGGGGGTGAGGGGCTGCAACACCTCTCAGGCTTTTCTGGTTCCAAGGCAGCTCCCCCAAGCTGAGGCACTTCCCAAAGAAGGGTGCATCATCTGTGAGCCATTGGCCATGGAGACTCACAGCAGCTGGGGCTTGGGTGCACCTGCCTGGTAAAGGCCACCTGGGTGGAGTTAAATAGTCTGCTACAGGGGGCTGAGCAGTGAAGGAGGATCGGTGTGGGCTCTTGGAGCATCTATGAGAAAAATTGCTTTTGTGACTGTTTTTCAGACTGTATGTCGGGACCGTGTCCTTTTGGGGAAGTTCAGCTTCAGCCGTCGACATCATCATTGCCTGCCCTCAACAAAACTTTCATCTGGGACGTCAAAGCTCATAAGAGCATTGGTTTAGAGCTGCAGTTTTCCATCCCTCGCCTGAGGCAGATCGGACCAGGTGAGAGCTGCCCAGACGGAGTCACTCACTCCATCAGTGGCCGAATCGATGCCACTGTGGTCAGGATCGGAACCTTCTGTAGCAACGGCACTGTGTCCCGGATCAAGATGCAAGAAGGAGTGAAAATGGCCTTACACCTACCATGGTTCCACCCCAGAAATGTCTCCGGCTTCAGCATTGCAAACCGCTCATCTATAAAACGTGAGCAAGCCCTTCCCCACTGTCTGATTAGGTTAAAACACACAAAATCATCATTGTTCTAGGTCAGAAATGGCTAAATGTCAACAAATCTCTAAGATTCAATCCAAATACCGTAAAGGAAGATCCTGCTCTCCTATAAGGGACATGGGTCACTCATTCCTAGTGTAAACTCTCTCTTCTCTATTAAACAAACAGGGGGCGACTCTCTTTGTCCTTTTTGCGTGTAGTATTTGTTTTCAAAAAATGAAAAGAGATTGGTTCTACAGATCCACCTTAATTGCTTCATTTCTAACTTCTTTGCTCTGTCTTCCATCTCTCTTGCATTTTCTGTAAATGTATCAGTGATCTGCAGAGCTCTCACACTGGCTCATGAAAGCTGGTTTTTTTGTTTTTTGTTTTGAGACAGAGTCTCGCTCTGTTGCCCGGGCTACAGTGCAGTAGTGCTGTTTTGGCTCACTCCAACCTCCACCTCCAGGTTCAAGCAATTCTCCTGCCTCAGCCTCCCAAGTAGCTGGGTCCATAGACATGTGCCACCACACCTGGCTAATTTTTGTATTTTTAGTAGAGACAGGGTTTCACCATGTTGGTCTCGAACTCCTGACCTCAGGTGATCCTCCCACCGTGGCCTCCCGAAGTGCTAGGATTACAGGCATGAGCCACTGTGCCTGGTAGAGAGCTGACTGTTAAATGTGCAGGCATTTTGTGAGCTGATGTGAAACAGATTCATTATTTTTAAAAATAGAATTAAATTAACTTATAATTAAATAAATTATTTTAAAAACAAAGGTAATAATATTCAAAACTTATCACTTCCTAGTTAATTTGCTGTTGCTTGTGCTCTCAGGGTTTTTGCGTTGTTGTATCTGTATGGAGGGAATAATAAAATGGTGTGCTACTGCCCAGCTCCACATTGTCACTTCGTGTTGGTAGCTTGAAATCAGCCATGGAGGGAGTATTTACATCCACTATGAAAGTAGGCAGATGCTATAAGTCAGGGTTTTTCCCTCCATCGCTGGATCAGTTATTAAATATTTACTCACACACCACTGATGTGTCTGCATTCTCAATCTCTGCCCCGAGTTCAAATATACTGTATCCAGACCCACTGCTTAGGATCTGAGAACTGCAGTCATTTTTCCTGGACCCCACCCCCCGGCTGCAGACAACCAAGACAAGGTCTAATTGCTCCCTATTCTTTCTGGTTTGGGTTCCACTCCCAATAGGTCTGTGCATCATCGAGTCTGTGTTTGAGGGTGAAGGCTCAGCAACGCTGATGTCTGCCAACTACCCACAAGGCTTCCCTGAGGATGAGCTCATGACGTGGCAGTTCGTCATTCCTGCACACCTGCGGGCCAGCGTCTCCTTCCTCAACTTCAACCTCTCCAACTGCGAGAGGAAGGAGGAGCGGGTTGAGTACTACATCCCGGGCTCCACCACCAACCCTGAGGTGTTCAAGCTGGAGGACAAGCAGCCTGGGAACATGGCTGGGAACTTCAACCTCTCCCTGCAAGGCTGTGACCAAGATGCCCAAAGTCCAGGGATCCTCCGGCTGCAGTTCCAAGTTTTGGTCCAACATCCACAAAATGAAAGCAGTAAGTGAGCCTCACTTTTCTTTTCCTTCCTCCCCCAGCACCTTCGTTGTTTCCTGGGTGTTCTGCCTGGGGTGAGACTCTCTTCCTATTTCTCATCTGTGGCTTCTCATACACTTAGACTCTGGACCCTGGAAGAGTTTCAGGAAGTGGGTTGCTAGGCAGTAAGACAGGCTCGTTGGTGAACACCTGGTATGTAGTTCCATTTCAGCACAATAAAAAGCAATCGTGCATTTAAGATGCTAAGTTGTTTTTAACGAAGGCATTGATAGGTTATTTTCTAGGTCTCATGTCTTGACCCTGCAATGGGAATGAGGATGTCACCAGCACCATCAGCAATGATGATGGGAACTTGCAGGTTTATGGCTCAGCACCCCTTACTATGGACACACACCCTGCATTTCATCTTGGGTTAGGCACGCCACTTACAGAATCTCAGCTAATCTTTATTGCAACTCTGTAGGGCAGGTGGGAATTATCTTCATTTACTAATGAGAACAGAAGGTTCAGAGAGGTTATGGAACTGGCCTGACATCATACAGCATGTCAAGAGCAGAGCAAGCTCAGAACCCTGAGCCAGTACTCTGGCCCATCCTGAAGCCCAGTTAGGGTGATGAGACTTAGGTTGGGCATCATTCCACAAACGTTGCCGAGATACCATGAACACAGAGGAGGAGAGTCAGGGCCAGGACTAGGATGAGGCAAAGTGCCCAGGGTGCAGTATTTAAGGAGGTACCCACTCTTGGGGTCGTGTAACTGCAAGGTCCGCCCCTGAGAGTGATCGCCTCCTCAAACTTTGCTCTCTGGGTGCCTGCCTTGCCTTATCCCAGTCTTGGCCCTGAGGGGATTAGTGCAGATTTTGAGATAAAAGATATAAAATGAACTCAGAGTGGCTTTCCCTGGGGCTCGTCTATGATGTGAAGGAATGAGTTCACGTCGTCTGGAACCAGGACATTTCTGATCTGTGCTGAGGATGGGTGCTGTCCAGGGGGCCAATTCTCATTCTTGTTTTTACTATTATTTACTTCTGGGAAGTAGGCAGAGCCAGGCAGAGAAATTAAGTAGGAGTGTGGAATGGTGTGCTGCTGATTTCGTTAGGGTCAACAAGCATCTGAAAGTGGCAACGTGGGACCCACTAGAAGGATTGCCCAAGGGGTGCTGCCCTGGAAACTCCCATATGTAGGTATGTATATGTGTGTATAGATATGTATACAGGTGGCCGGGTGTGGCGGCTCACGCACTTTGGGAGACCAAGACAGGCAAATCACTCGAGGCCAGGAGTTCAAAACCAGCGTGGCCTACATGGTGAAACCACGTCTCTACAAAAAATTCAAAACTTAGCCAGGCGTGATGATATGAGCCTGTAATCCCAGCTACTTGGGAGGCTGAGGCATGAGAATCACTTGAATCCAGAAAGCAGAGTTTGCAGTGAGCCGCGATTGGGCCACTGCACTCCAGCCTGGGTGACAGAGTGAGACTCTGTCTCCAAAAAAAAAATGTATACATGCACACATACACACACACACACACACACACACACACATAGTGTATGTGTGTATGCGTCCATTGAGACATTTTTATGACTCCACTGTTACAACTGCATAATCAGAATGTTGAAAACAGCCACAAAAGGATTTAGAAGTGGAGTGGGTTTGGGATTTAGAAGACAGGAGGATTTGTTTGTCACCTCAGTCATGGTGGAATGCTGCTTAGAACGTCTGATTAATTCTGTTAACTGTAACAGCAGCTGGGTTGATTTCTAAAACTAATCAAATTGTTGAACATGCTACACACAGCATCAAGAGGGATATGGATTTAGTTCTGAGATTAAAGGGCAGTAACTGTTGTTGAGAGGTGTTCAGCAGTGTCAGGGCCTCTAACTTTGCACTGTTTCTAGAGGAGTGAGTGGACTTGGTGGCAGAAATATCTTTGGGGATAGTCTTAGGTTGAGCTGGACTGCCTGAGAACTCTGATCACTGGGTAGCTTCATCTTGATCCTCTGAATCCCTGTGTGGACCCTACCTTTCAAGGGCTAACCCAAGGAAGCCAGTCCTGTGCCCCGACATGTTTGTCTGACCCTTTTTTTTTTTTTTTTTTTTGAGGTAGAGTCTCGCTCTGTTGCCCAAGCTGGAGTGTAGTGGCGTGATCTTGGCTCTCAGCTCACTGCAACCTCCACCTCCTGGGTTTAAGCGATTCTCCTGCCTCAGCCTCTCTTGAGTAGCTGGGATTACAGGCACCTGCCATCACCCCGACTAATTTTTTGCGTTTTTAATAGAGACGGGGTTTCACAATGTTGGCCAGGCTGGTCTTAAACTTCTGGACTCAAGTGATCCACCCGCCTTGGCCTCCCAAAGTGCTGGGATTATAGGTGTGAGCCACCACGCCTGCCCTCCCCCCACCCCGATTCTTTATTCTCTCTTATTCACTAAGTTTTTGTGGGCAGTTTATTGTAGGCAGCATGGCCCCGTGGTTAAGGGCAGTGACCTGGAGTTGGCCTGCACGGATTTGAATCTGATTCCACCATTTCCTTTGACCATGGGCAAGTAACGTCACCTCTTTGTGACCCGGTTGCCCATCTGTAAAATGGAAGTGATAAGACTGTCCTCATGGGGGTATTGTGAGGACAATGTGCGGTAGCACAGGGCCTGCCAGGTAGTGAGCGCTCTTTAAATGTGTCCAGCAGGGTTCTAGGTCAAGGCAGGATGCAGGGTTAGAAAAGACACGCTTGTCCAAAGAGATTAGACTGTGGCCCAGAAATGACTGGTAGAACACAGCAAGTCACTCGTGGAAGGAGTTCCAGTGGTGTGTGGTGGGGTTGGAGGCAGGAGAATGGACTGCAGGCTGGTGAGAATACCAAGGGGAGACTCGGGGCAGAGCGGAGTCTGGCCCTTCTCACGCTGCACAGGAGGCCCCACCTGTGCCTATGGTGGGTGCCGCTTATTACCACAGGAAGAGCACTATGTGCTGCTCTTGCTTTCTTAACCTTGGAGATGAAAAAGAAGCTGAGAGAGAGGAGCCTCAAGGTGACTGAGTTTTGGGTGGGAGCCTCTGCCTTACTTCTCCTTTGAATGCTAGAGGAAAACCTCCTGGGGCTAGTCTGCCCCCAGCCCTTCACTGCTTCACCTCTGAGTCCAGCCCAGGTGTTGTCCAAACTTGACCTTCCTTTGTCCTCAGAAGCAGGGGAACAACTACCCAGACCAAAGCCGCTACCCCAGGAGTGCACAGGAGGGCGGTCTGCATTCTTCATACATCACGTAATTATCTGTCTCCACGTCTGCATCTCACTAAACCCCTCCCAGGCAGGAATCTTGTCTTATTGCTCTTTCTATTCCTGCCAAAGCTTCTGGTACATTCCAGGCCCTCCATAAATCCATGTTGCACTAATCTCAGGAGTCAGCCTCCTGTCTAAAGTGGCTTGAGAGCCAGATGCACTGCCATAAGAATCCACAGCCCATCAAAAGGGGCAAGGCGGATAGGGTGAAGTGGGGCGCCCAAGAGAGCAGCTGCTTAGGGAGCCAGACAAGGAGAAGTGCATCAGAAAAAGAGGAAAGGCAGAGCCTGGAGACCTTCTCAAGCAGAAAAGCAACCATACAATGCAAGAGATTCGGCAGGGGTGGAGAAAGCTGTGAGAGGCACCAGCCAGCCCAAACCTCTCATTATCCAGAGCGGGACTTGAGCACAGTGGGCCCAGGCCGCAAAAAAACAGGCAGATGTTACCTTGAACCTAATTGTCCAAAAAAACAAACAAAACAAAAAAGCAAAAAAATTGCTATCAGTCCTCTCTCTGCTGGAAACATCAGGTAGGGTCAGACTAGACCCCGAGAACTCCTGTAGGGAATGTTTTTCCATGGCTGGACCACAAACATCCTGTGTTTTGAGTCATGTGTGATTACCCAGGAACTGAAGAATAACGGATTGGCCATCTGTGATGACATGTGTGAGCAGTGATGGCTTAAGCTGCCCCCAGTGTGCAACCCAGGGATGTCTGAGAGCTTGGTTCATGTTCATCTCCAGCAAGCAAGTCTGTTTCAAGTGCTCCACAATGCACCCTATCCTTTCTTTTTTGATAGCACAGTATTACCATGTCATGCCTGGTGTTATTACCACTTTCATCATGCAGCTGGTTTCTCTTTTTGTTTAATTTCTAAAGGCTCAAGTGGCCCTGCTGATAATGATTATAAGAGTTAATGGTACAGTATTCTACCCATCTATATTATGCTCTTTAGGGAGAGCCTTCTGCCTTATGCATCCTCCTCTAGCTTTTGGAAAATATGTTTGCTTTCCTGAAAATATCAAACTATTATCTGTAAAACCCTTGTGGGCTTCTGGATGATGATGAGTCACAAACGGAAAGCAGATGTGCATTTCCAGTGTGCTACACAGGATGCTTTTGTTAACCACTCTGGGTAGGTGCTGGTTGTGGAAGCAGTTACATTGCTGCTTCTTTGGCTTTTATAACCTCCAGAAGCTACCTGGAACCTTTAAATAATTACTGGATTTGTTTTTTTGCTTCTTGTTTTTTGTTGTTGTTGGGTGACTTGTGTTCCATGAGTCTTAAATTTGTCCTGCCAGAATTGATAGGTATTGTGGCCTTTGACTTATTCCCATGGGGTCCATTTCAAAAAAGAAATTTCTCTCTATAGATACCACAAAAATGATTAGGGGCCTTTATGAAACATTAGTGGGTAACCTAATCCCTTCAAAGGTCCCTAGTGTGGCTTTTAAAACAGTGTCAAAAACTAATAAATAGTGAAGGGTTTTCTTTTGGTGCGGGGTGGGGGTTAAGCATCAGGCTCAAATGTTTTTTATGTGAAGACATCTTCAATATTGTAGAAAAACTGTGGGATTCTTTCAAGGCAGGAAACTGTCCAGATCACAGATCTGCCCCTTTTTTAGGGAATACTGAGCAGTTAATTCGCACCTTTCTCGGCTGTAAAATAACAATAGTCATTCCTCCTTCCCCCCATGTTGTGAGGGTGAGATAAGACAACTTGTCAAAGCAC